ATAATTTAGTAGTTTATTGCCTGAAATACAGTGATCAGGATTTAGGGTATATTTACTAAAAGCTTTAAAGTTATCAAAAAAGTATAATAACATAAATATGTAACTTAAATAAAAGGCATTTAAATATTATATTAAGTTTTTTTTGAATGCTTAATACATTTAATGTTAAAATCAATAGTAATTAATATTAAATTAGTTTTTACGAATACTATAACTACTATACGATATCAATATCCCTCTGGCAAATGCTCTTTATTGACTTAATACACAAAAAAAATATTATATTAAACTTATAATCTATTTCTTAAAACGAGAATATTTTGACATAAAATTAATGTTTTACTATAACTTTGAATTTTCTATTAAACTTAATTTATGACTTCAATTAATGCAATGTTTTATGGTTTTTATTGTTTTTTGCTTTTTTTCGATGGGAGAAAATGTATTCATAAATTTCTTTACGTTACCCTATATTTAGTTGTTATTTTGTTACCTCTAATCTATAAAGTGTTGTGTAATACGAGCCACGATTCCTGTGCTAAAGATTTGGACAAATATTTTGCTGAATCTATGAGTTTTGCTCATAATTTCCTATTTTATGCTCAATAGACTCCATCGATAAGTGAGTGCCAGATCTCCCTATAGTATAGCGAGTCTATACAATACAGACTCAGAATATTCTGTTACTCTATTTATACAGAATTTATATTTTTATTAACAGAATTACAGAATATTCTGTGTGTGTATGCACTATTTTTTGATTGTAAACATCAATATGATTCAATCGATTATAACATGTGTTCACATAATTTCCTTCAATATTTGATTTCAAAAAACCCATTAAAATGTATCTAAAAATACATTTGAATTTATTGTGCGAATAGTCGTGATTTACAATTGAAATATCACTGTAAATGTAATAAGCTGAATAAGTTATATTATAAATTAAATTGACATTATAATCTTGCATATAAATTGAATATGGATTTAGACAGTCAACAAAAGGTTATTGTAAATAATATAGTTATATGGATTGTTATTTATAAAATATATATTTTAACAAAAGTATTTGTGTAAACATTAAGGAATTGAGTATTTGATATGTATTTTTCAGTGTTTGTTTTATTTTGATTATAAAAGTTTTAACGCGAAAGTGATTCACACTTCAAGAATATATTTATAATATTCTTATGAAAATGATTTATGACTTATTCATATACTTTTTTTCGGTAAACCAATGAAACTCTTTTCAAACAATCTCTCTCTCTCTCTCTCTCTCTCTCTCTCTCTCAGAAAATATTTATATGCCTTCAGAAATGATGGAAAATATATATTTCTCTCTATTTGTTTGCAGAGTTTCTTATTATTTATTGAGAGAGAAAACGAAACAAAACACAGATATTATATATTACTTATTCATACCTCAGCTAAATAAATGAAATATTCAAAAACCAAACAAAACAATGCATTTCTAGTATAAATAATAAAAATTTAAATTATTTTCTAAAATCTATATTAAATATTATAATATTTTATACAACAATTTTGCACTTGAATTACATTGCCAAAATAAATGGACAAAATCTGGAAGTTTTAATTAAAAAATAATTTAATGCTACATATGATGGATAGTTAGTACAATCTTAAGCCATTGTGTTTTGTTATTGTTTTTATTTTTCATTCATTTATTATTTTCCAAGAATAGGTGTCAAGAGTCTTATGAAACAATTTTCTATTAAATTTAATACTAATTGTAAACTGAGAAATCTTTTGTTATATAATTTTGCTATTTTAAGTGATAATCTTAATAAAAGCATTCACAAAATATTTTATTTTATTTTTGAAACTTTTCATAATTATATTAGTTTTAAGAAATTTATAATTGCAATAGTTATGAATACTTTGTTTAATACACTAGAAAAGTTTAATATTATTTTTATCAACTTTACTTTTATATTTAATACTGAAATCTTATATTTTGTTTTCAAAAGTCATTTAAACGCCACTTTTAAAGTATAAACAATTTATGTTTGAATTAATTGATTTTTATTTATTTTCGGAAACTATTCACGAATTTAATGGATCTTAAGATTTATTAAATTCTTTATTTTGTTTGTTTTTATAAGAATTTAATAGAATATACTTCCAGAATTCCTTTGATTTATTATTTTAAAAATTTTAAATATTTTGTGAAATACACAAATAATATTCAGTGATTTATTGCTCGTATATTACCATAAACAGAAATATTATGCAAATATTCAAGCAACTTGTATAAAAAATAATTTTTCAATTACTATTCTCATTACCGGCTAATGAATTCCTTAACATATAATTCAAGTAATTATTGCATAAACTATATTCGCTATAAATTATATTTTCCCTATAAATTCCTATGTTATAGAAATTAATAACATATGCACTGAACTGAGACATCGAGAAAAATATGGGGAAAACATTTGCGAATCAATTGTTATGATAGAGAGAAGTGCAACGAATTATAGACACAAAAATGCAATTTCCTATTAATCTCTAAAATGTGTGCACAAAAATCGCTTTCAATATAGAAATTAGGAAAATAAGCGAAAAACGGAAGAGACGAATGAAATGCAAAAAACAAAATGTGATTTGTTTTATAAGCAAAAGAAATAACAATTCGCTAAAAGATGTTGAGAGAGAGAGAGAGAGAGAGAGAGAGAGAGAGAGACTGTGAGTGGGAAAGAAAACTGTGTTTTTAGTGAAAGTGAAAGCTTTTACCGTTATTTTACATGAACTCCGAAGCATTTTATTCAATAATATATAATAACATACAAAATGTTTTTTGATACGAAAAACTAAAGGAGAGAGAAAAAACTTTTTTTCTGTTGGCTTTCTATTTATATTACGGAATGACATATAAATAAATATATAGTGCTCTGTAAAAGGGCCCTGTTTTATGTTATTCAATATTAACATCAATTTTGTATATTGTATTTAGAGGTATATATTTAGAAATATTTTTATGCTTTTTTGTGTGCATTTTCGCGATTCACATGACATATGTATTGATATATCGACGACTGACTGCCCTTTTCTTTCTCTTGACGTAGGAATCCGTTTGTGTGAAAGAAGTGCATAAAGACAGCGCCGCTGACAAAGACGGACGACTACGCAAAGGGGACCTCATATTGGCGGTGAACGAGCGCTCGTTGCGTGACATATCGTTCAGGGATGCCGTCCAAGTGCTCCGGGAGGCGGCCAGTCCTCTGCGGCTGTTAATACTCCGCGAAAACGCTCAGAAACTATTCACAACACATCAATGTAGGTATGCTTTGGGAGATTCATGTCGACCAGAATATTCCTGTGCTCGCGATTCTGTGCTATACTTATCGATATGCCATTGATTGAGTGACACAGTGAGTGAGACATACAATCATAAGTATTATATACGCCAACAAAATGCTTACCATTAGCCTATGTATGATATTATAGATATGATATAAAAATCTCTGTTGAGATCATAAGAAAGTCATTTTGTGATATACAGTGATTTGATGGGCTCTGATGTATGCAAGAGTTTAGGAGTGATCTGCCCTTAATATCCGTTTGTTTATGTCTTATTTATGCATTAAGTTTTGTTTGCGATTCATAAAATGCATTTTTTGTATAACATTTTTATATAATTGTTTAGTTTGTTTCCATGTGTATGATTATTATTATTATTGTGCAATTGTTCGCAAATCATTTGATAACCCCTGAGCACCCAATCTCTTGCTTACATCATAAGGATTTACTCATAAACTCGGGCTAACCATACACTCCATATCTGTCATATGGTGTGCCCTCTCAGCCCTTAAATTGACTTTTTTTTCTCTCTCTTCACATAAGTTTGTGTCTTATATCAATACCTAAATATGAAAAGTAACTAAACAGAAGTGTAGAGAGAGAGGCTCTCCTTTGTGTAATAATAAATGTGACTGCAACTCTTATCATAAAGGTAACTTTAACACACGTTTATTCCACAAAACCCCACAGAATTTGCATTAAATTTTATATGATTAAGAATATTTTCACACAATTCGGTACACATTGACACTATGGATACACAATGTATTACACATAGCATAGTATTATTCACACACATTAAGGTGTTTTGGGCACAGAATTTGCATTAAATTTTATATGATTAAGAATATTTTCACACAATTCGGTACACATTGACACTATGGATACACAATGTATTACACATAGCATAGTATTATTCACACACACAGAATCGTATCGAAATAATTTGCATAAATAAATATAAATTTTATACTAGTGCTTTTTTTTTGTTTCTACACTGTTTTGCGTTTGAAATTTTTATTTTAAGCATACGTTTCGTGAATCTATTTTTAATTAGTATTTTTATCAATGAATTAGTTTTTCAATTTAATTAAAAGCTATTACGATATTAGAAATGATTTTATACTGTATAATGAAAATCGTTTTAAGAGAATGACAATTAGATTCAAATAATTTTATAATTTTAATAGTTATCTATTTATCGGTTTATAGCCCTAAACTCTTTATGATATTTATAGCACCTTTTTATTTATTATATATAAAAGTCTAAAAGTTTTTTAGTTTTTTCAGCGGAAAATCTAATTTCTAATACTTTTGAGACTTAAATTGTATTTTTAGGTTAAATGCGTTGAACACAGAAATATATAACACAAAAGGATAGCGAAAAAAGAAAAGTAAAAACTTTTCTACTTTTTGTTGTCGAAAGCGATCGTTCATGACATGACATAAGACTATTAAATAATTGTTAAGAAAAATCTAATTTT